GTCCACCACCGGCCACGAGGACGCGCGCCCCGGTGCCCATCGCCACCATCGGCGACGCCGACGGCGAGACTCGCGAGTCCTTTTGTCATCTGTGCCGCAGTCAGTAAACGATTCTTTTTTAGCGTGATCTCACAGTTAAATCAGTCAGCTAAGGACCTCGTGCCGAATCCACGTGAAAACCTTCGTGAAAGGAAATCGATCCCTGTACCGGCACACTAGCACGAGACGGGCACGTTCTGCGCCTGTCGCTGTCGGTGTCCGGGCACGCGGATCCTTCAGGATGAGCGCGCTGAACGTGGTGGTGGGTTCAGGCCACCTCGCCAGCCGCCGGCGGCCATTAGGTGGCGTTCGTCGTCCCCAGAGCCTCGTTTGCTGACAGGAGCAGCGGTTGTGGTCCGGTCCGGGTAACCCACGGCAACCCACGATGGATTCTTTTTTTTTTTTTTTGCTTCGATTCGATGAGGAAGGCGGCCGCCGTGCTCTACGCTGCCAGCGTCCATGTTGGTGTCCGGTCACCGGACCGGCGCGGCGCGGTGCGTTCGGCGTTACTTGAACGAGCCTTTGTTTTTTCTCCCACGCCTAGGCGTCACTGCTCACTTGACTAGGATGATAGTCGCCGGTCGGTTTTCTCTGTGTGAGATTAACGATGGTCTGTCTGACTACTCGCGATGCCAAACATTTCTCTATGGCGACGGTGCGCACAGCACACGCATTATTGTCTTCATTCACGCACCGAACAAATTGGACAAATCACATTCGTGCGTATTGACTGGACTATGACTGTAGAAAGGGACACATGAACTCAATTTTCCCCGCTAATAAGGGCCATGTCACCATCTTTGCACGTTGCCATCCTACCTAATGTTGAAATTCTCTTAGTGCCGCTAACCCCGACGAGAAGGAAAATATTCATTCTTTTCTCTAGATGACTACAATCTATAGTTTGTCGATGTGTTCTTTACTAAGTAAATGATGTAGTGAACCATTGAAACCTATTGTGTTGTTCCTTGTTGAATGTTAGATGCCTGCGAACGTTGATTATAGATACGAGTATGTTATTTGACTGAATGACTTAAATAATGGATATGTAGACATGTTCTCCTAGAGTCTTGGACATGTGTTTGAGTTCATAAACTTTTCCTAGTTTCTTGTTTCTGTGCATAGTTAGTTGTTCCCTCCGTTCCAAACTAAAAGTCTTTGATTTTTTTAAAATAATATGTAACTTTTACTCTATTCCTTAAAAAAGTTTATTTTGAACATGATTTAAGATTCAATGAGTAATTAATTAGAGTCTATTTTCCTCATGTTTTCTCTTATTAAATACTCCCCCCATACTCAAAAATAAAATCGTTTTTGGACAAGGCTTGGGTCAAACATTGAGAATATAAATCATAAATAACTTTTAAGTTGTTGAGTTTGAAAATGTGAAAACTATATGTATAGATTTATCTTGAAAAATATTTTCACAAAAATTTACATATATCACTTTTTGATAAATATCTTTATAAAAATAAGTAGTCAAAGTTATACTTTGAAGACCGTGCCACTGTGAAAATGACTTTATTTTTTTTTTTAGTATGGAGGGAGTAGCGTGTTGTGCCTTCATTGGACGAATATCCGTCTGCGTCTGACCAGTTACGAGGTGCACTTTGTGGCGAGCAGCGCGGTTTCGATCCCTCGCTTGCTTGTTTTGTTGTGAGGACTGCTACGCAAGCGCGCATACGTAGCCTTGCAAGCTGCATGCAGCGCTCGCCTCCATACGGCTGTTAATCTCATCCGATTTAATGACGGCGCTGGAAATGAAGAGGCCGCGCGGGGCAAAATCTAAACTAACAGTGCGGACAGCAGGAACCTGTCCAAGCTGAACAACGCACTCATCGTGCTCATCCCCAAGAAAGTCGGAGCTTGCTGCCCAGGTGATTTTCGGCCAATTACCATTATCCACAGCTTCGCAAAGCTTATCTCCAAGATCCTCGCCCTAAGGTTGGCGCCAAGGTTGGATGAGTTGGTGGCAAAAAACCAAAATGCCTTCATCAGAGATCGGTCGATTCAGGACAACTTCAAATATTTTTTGCTTATTAGAAAGAAGAAGATCCCCATGCTCCACCTTCTGAAGCTAGACATCTCAAAGGCATTCGACACTCTATCATGGTCGTTCCTCCTCCAGGTCCTGCAGGCCCGAGGCTTCGGTGGGACATGGCGCAGGTGGATGGCCGCTCTCCTCAGCATTGCCTCGTCTCGGATTATCCTGAATGGACATCAGGGGCCAACGATTCAGCACCTCCGCGTAGTCAGGCAAGGTGACGCCCTGTCGCCTTTGCTTTTCATCATTGCTATGGGCATTCTACACCGGCTTTTCATGAAGGCTAGCAGAGATGGGGTACTGCGGAGGATGGAGCCGCATGAAATCAGATACCAATGTAGCCTGTATGCTGATGATGTGATCCTATTTATCCAGCCAACAGTGCAAGAGGCAACAGTAGTGAAACAAATTTTGCAGATTTTTAGCCAAGATTCTGGTTTGATGACCAACCTAGCAAAATGCTCAATCACACCGATATACGGAGGGGAAGAGTCCATGGATGAAATCATCTCCATTTTGGGATGCTAGGTCCAGCCCTTTCCAATCAAATACTTGGGATTGCCGCTCAGCACAAGACCAATCCCAAAGGCGCATTTTCAGTCCATTGTGCTCCTTGTGCCGCCATCGGTTGTTGTAACATATACTCTCCCCTTCTTAATTGAAATGATATGCAGAGCTCCTGCGTATTCGAGATATAAAAAAAACTTATGAAACAAACTGCTTTGTGAAAACTCTCAAAACCACTAGAACGAACTTTTTTTAAGTGGCGGAGGGAGTATTATATATCAAGACATAGCATATATCCAGACGCGTAACAAAAGATACGTACTTAGAGCAACTCTAATGTGCCTCCAAACCGAACTGCAGGCTGAGGTGGATATTTGATAGACGAACGAACCGGGCATGTAGAGCAAAACTGAATCTTATTTCTAGTTCGAACCATCAGCAATAAAAATGTGAAGCACAACTCTCGAGTCTCTTGCACACGCAGCTAATGCAGGGCAAGTGTGTTATTTTTAATTGTTTCATGTGTCTCATCAACCAATGCTGTATCATGAAGAAACCAACCACCTGCGATATTTTCATGTTCGCTTCAATTTTTTTGCAGCCAAAAACAACAGCTGTACAGTACCGATAGAGAGAAAATACAACAACTGCTTAGAATTGGCATGGTCTATACCATAGTTTTAGATCTTAATATATTCTAAAATTTTGTAGTTGAAATTTTTTTAAAGATCGTTTAGAGGCCTAATGAAAACTTTCTAAATTGGGATCGTTTAGGGGCCCAAATAGTTGTTTCAAGTTCTTTTATTACAAAATTTAAGTTTTGAAATTACCTTGTACGATATCAAATACTTAGTGCTTGATGAAGAGGCATAAAACTTTCTATTTGAATTTTTTCCATTTAAAATCATTTAAGAGCCCAAATATTCAATAAAAATAGCATGACTAAAAAAACGAAGACACGTCCACATGCCACATTAGCCAAAACCACAATCGAAACTATGAACTATTTCAGGGGGTATCTTTTGGCCATATTCGCTTCTCTTATAATCCGTCCTTTTCGGCTTGTTTTTTCAGCTGAAACAGTGTTTTTCTCTCATAACAAATTAGCTGGAACAGTGTTTTGGCTTGTTTTTTCAGCAAAGCGAATGGGGCCTTTCAGGTTTCAAAAGTTAAGGGGGTAATTATCCGATATTCGAGTTTGAGTGTTTTTTTTTTTAAATTAACGATAAATTTAGGGAGGCAAATCAGCCTTTACCGAAAATAAAAACCACCAGGAGCACATGTGGCCGTAGCCAATCATATCACTGTTAAATAATAATACAGTAGGATGTGAAATGAAAATATTTTGTCAAATAAAACAGTAGGATGTGTGAAATGGAAATATTTTTCCCTAGTTTCCCATCCAAAAGGATCGCAAGTAACAAAAGAGCACGTACCTTTTCCGATGAATTACAGTGAGGCAACAATGTCACCACACAGCCGCGGTGCAACTTGAGAAAAAAAAAGAGAGGAAAAATGTTACTCATGCGATGACAAACACCCTGCCTCGTGAGATGAAATCTCAATACTTGCTGCTGTCAATGCCTCACATAGTCACATAAGTACAATGCACTCAAATACTATTAACAAAATGCAATTTAATGGCCTAGTTTTCCGACACCGCCCACTATTCATATACAAGTCATAGGCCTTGCTTAAATCTCGGATGTAAAGTTTTGGGATGTTATATCAGGTGTTATATGAGGTGTCATATGAGGTGTTTGATACTAATAAAAAAATAAATTACAGAATCCGTCAGTAATCTGCGAGACGAATTTATCAAGTCTAATTAATCCGTCATTAGCACATGTGTTACTGTAGCACCATATTGTCAAATTATGGACTAATTAAGCTTAAAAGATTCATCTCGTAAATTAGTCACAAACTATATAATTAATTATTTTTAGTCTATATTTAATACTTCATGTATGTGTCAAACATTCGATGGGATATTGAATAAATTTTAAAAAGAGGAACTAAACAATGCCATAATCATGGAAACTGAACGAAAATGAACCACATTCTTGGCATCCTTTTTTTTCAGTTTTTTCTACTCGATTATTTGGCGGCCATTTAAGAGCCAGGCATTGTTGGTTGAGCCACCGGCTGCCCCTCCCCTCCTTTCCCCCAACAACACCAGCATGGTCGGTCGGCTAGGGATGATGCTGACCTGGCAGAGGATGAGATGGGACCCATGCTGCTGACCAATGCTGTGCGAGTGTACAATTCCCTGCTCTCAAGTGTCGGATATCTCAGGATAAGCAGGCCGTGTGTGTGTGTGAGAGAGAGAGAGTTTTAGAAGGCCTTTTCTTGTGAACATGATTGAAGTGCAGCTGGAGGGTTAAGTTTTCTTTTAAATTTTAGTAAAGAGATGGAGGTTACAGGGTATGAAAATTTGGTCGCTGCTGGTAAAGAAGTTGAACAGCACGGTACTTCACACAGAAGTTCAAGCGAATTCAGATGCGATGGACAAGAATTCCAACCGCAACTTTTCTTTTTGAAAGATTTCCAACAAGCGCATCAAGCTGTGCAATGTGCATTAGTGCATGAGACCACACATGTGACCATATAGGGACGGAACGGGTGGTACAACAACTGTCCTTTCTATATGTTGGAGAAGGATTCCCAGAGAGCATTTCGTCGGAGTAATTCAGAATTTTTGCCTGATCTCCAAATGTTGTCATTTTTCCAAAGTTTATCCGTTGTATTGTGACGTGTGAGCAAGGCAATGAGACACGAAATGATAACGCGCCTATGATTTTATTTTGCTCTATTTTTTTAGCATTTAATTCAATATGCAGAAACTGAGAACTATTTTCTAAATGAAATAATCTAGTAAACAAGGCGTTTCACCACAAATAAATGAGAAAAAAAAAGAAGAAATACGAGAGAAGAAGCAAAAAGAAAGCACCCTTGCCAGACAACTCGAAGCCATTTTGGCCCACCTTCAGCCTTACTGGGCTATTTGAGCCCAAGGAAAAGCCCAGCATAAATGGTTTCTGGGCCAGGCCGTGCGAGAACGATTTCTCCTTTTCTTTCTCTATTGAAAGCGCGAATCTGCGCGCAGGATCAAGCGTTCATAACGCTGCCCGCGCTGGCTCCACTCGCAACCAGTGAAGAAGCGTGCGTGCTTCCAGAAGCATCTCGGTGGAGGGCGGAGGGGTCCGCGGGGCCAGCCGCCGGCGAGGTCGAGGGTGCTGGGGAAGCTAGGACCCTCCTTCGGCTTCGGCGCCGGCTGCGGCTTCGGTGTTGGCGTCGGACTCATCGGCGGTAGTACCTCTGCCTTGAACCCTAGACTCGTTCTTGCTGCTATGGAATCGTCCAGAATCAGTCTTTGTGATCTGGAGTATCTCCATCTGGGACTCGTGGCACTCAACTCCTTGCGGTTTAGGCCGATCGATTGTTCGTTGTGGAAAAAAGGCCGATCGATTGATGAGTGATGACCAATCCTGGTTGGAGAGGGCTCGAATTGGGGATAGCTCATCATTTTCTGAACTTCATATGGATGCAATCTATCGAAACAGTGATACGTTAATGAAATGGAAATGGCACCAATGCCAAGATAAATGGTACTTCCAATGACTATTACTCGGTGTTTAAAAGGAAAAATAAATAAATCTGATATATTCTGCACCTAATTGTCGTGAATGGATTCTTGGTAAGGTAAAGTAACTTCCGCAGCGCAGTCAGTGGATTTACCTTCAACTTTATGTTTAGATTCAGGATTTTCTTGTATGGTGTTGCCCCTTTTTTAATTGATGGTGAATTCTTCACTATATTTATTTCATTGCTTGATGCGTACAATGATGATACAAGACTCTGAACTTTCAGTTAACTCCTATTTCTCGTATTACCAATGTGGCTGAACAGGTGCAGGAGTTGGTTCTGGTTTCCCTGGATTAAGCTTGGGCTTTGGAGTTGGTGCAGGCTGTGGTATAGGGATTGGCTTTGGTCATGGTTTTGGAAAAGGAGTCGCTTATGATGAGAATGGGAGATATTCAAACATTGGGAGATCAAATCAGAGATCTAAGGGCACTCCATCTGAGTAAGATATAACTTCATGCAAAATGCCTGTTGCAAGATGATTTCACCTCATTCCCTGTTGTATCTGTGAAAATCAGGTTCTTTGAGCTGAGTAAATATTTTTGTAATTTCTCCAATTACTCTGATGACATAAGGCATCACCAGCATATAGGAAATTAATTAACTGTTTCCATACCTTGCGTACATTTTCATTATGCCTATTTCAGAATTATTCAGACCGGTGCTGGAGCTGCACCCGGGCTGTGGTTCTGTGTGTTTGCCACTTCTTTTTTCCTTTGCTTTCGCTTTCGTTCGGACTAAAATCTGTACATAAACTCCCTTTTATTCTACTTTAATTGAGAGGCAGAGCTCTTGCCGTTCATTTAAAAAAGAAGAAGAATTATTCAGACCTTAAAAGAGCTAACTATTTAGATTATAGATTCAAAACAGTCATGTCTAGAAACCCTGCATGCAACTTATGTGAATGCAATGTACCCTTGCAAACTTGGTAAGACTAATAAAGTCACTCAAAACGACCCTTGTTTTATTGAAAAATTATCGCATTAATACTGATGGTTAATGGCCACCACCAGGTCAATGGCCTCTTGTCCTACTGAAGTACATTTTTCTTCCACAACGTTTTGATTTGTTCCCAGCAAGGTTATCAAGTCGCCCGGCTAATCGCGATTAGTCTGGCTTATTGGTGCATGGTGATCGGTTATGCACTACTATTAGTTGCGATTAGTCGGGTTGATTAGTGCCATGGCGACTAGGGTTCCCATATATCTTTGCACTGTTGCAAGCAAAAATATTTAATAGAGACTTGTGATTTTTTTTTCAGAGACCAGATCGATATCCTGGTTGATGAACTGATCTGAGAATGCAAAGAAACTAATCAAAGCAACATCAAAGGAGATCAATAAGTGGAGGCGAGCTTAATCTAATTGGCACCAGGATCTGCTGATGTTTATATGCTCAGGACATTGTGCTAGGTGCATAAACCTCATTGAAACACACTATTGCTTGTGTGTGATTTGAGTTAATTCTTTGTAGGAGTCTGTAACTCGTGAGAAATGTTGTCCATATTTTACTTGTAGCAAATGCTAGGTTTGCCCAGCGTGTGCTAGGATATGATTGAATGTGATCACAGAGTTGACCATTACATTCTCAACAATATGCTGGATCGCTGTTTCAGATCCTTGAGTTGTTTAGCATGCCCATGGGCTAGTTTGTAATCGTGTAACTGTTGACCTGAATTGGTCGCGGACTCTACACTCCGTAGCTTACTCCAGTATGCCACTCACTCCAGTCCCAGACTCCCAGCTATCGTATAAAGTACTAAAGTGTAACCTTAATGGCTTAATCTTTATGTATTCTTGTTTAACAAGACTCAATGATTATTATTCAACGTAATTCTGGGTCAAGTGAAGTGGGAGCTTATTAAGTTTTCTGTCAAATCTCTCCCACTTTTGTACCGAAAAGATTCTCCATGATAAATAATTTAAACTCCATTCAGCAGTCCTTAAGAGACAAGTCATGTAGCTTTGATGATTAAGAAAGGGAGCTACTATATGAGAGAGGGGTACTATCTTTGCTGCTGCTGCTGTGTCGACTGTAGTAGAATAGAATCGTAGAAAGTGTTGTGGCCTGAACAATGCAATTGGAATATATTTTATAAAATATATTCTATTATTAATCTAATGTACACATCATAACTATTAGTATTTTTTATATTTGGTCAAAATTTAAAAAGTTTGGCTACTCAAAAAAGCGAAACGTGTAGTTATTTTAGAACAAAGACAGTATAGATTTCAATTACAACCAAATTGAAAACAATGCAGTTCACGCGTGATTCCTACTCAACTCTCACAAACTGAAAACGTATCTAACCAGGGCGCTAAGATGGCCGTGTCATAAGAACACCGACTGATGCATATCATGGATCGTGCCTGGCAAAGCTGAAGCACTACAAAAATGTACAGGCAAAATGATTGGTGGCATCGTTCCTTCCAGATCTAACCAGACATGATGGGCGACCTTGCAGCATAACGGCAAGAATGACCATGATCACCACGCAAAGAGACAGGTTTATTGCAAGGCAAGGAAGTGATCTCCATTGGTAGATGCGCACACTTTGGTCTAATCTAGCTTAGCATAAGTTATCTAAATAAATATTCACTTTGTTCCAAATTGTAAGTCGTTTTGGTATTTCTAAATACATAGTTTTATTATTTATTTAAACATAATGTATATCTAGGATTCTAGGTGTATAGAAAATCTGTGTATATCGAAAAGCCAAAATGAGCAAACGACTTACAATTTGGTTACTAAGATACCTGGACATAAATGGGACTAGACCCTACTGTATATTGGTTGATTGCCAAATTTTGCATCATTAGTGAAGGGCGAGATCAGGTCGACAATTTGGCGAAAAATGAACTAGAGCAACATCTTACAAAAAAAAAATGATCAGCAGAATTCATGGAAAGACAAAGCGAAAAAGAGATTCATGTGTTCTAAATGAGGTTTACTCAAATTGGGTCAGCTAGTACTTTTTTTTTTAGAAAAAGGAATTTGTATTCTAGCCTCTGCAAGAGGTTCTGCATTGTTCGCTTAAACTTATCAGCTCGACTTATTAAACATGGTACGGCAGTCGGTTTATCAGCCACAGAAACCATCAACAAATCAGAACTATTGCTAGTACATTAAAAAACTGATTATTATTTTGAACATTACAATCCCAAAACCTAGAACCACCGAAACCAACAGTGTTAAGTCAGATACTCAGAGAATAATAAGACTAAACAACAAGCCCTTGAAGAGATTAATATCTTCACATCGACTGTCCATTCCAACGACGTCCACTAAAGCGCATAGCCGCCCATCATGACACGTCCGGCTCCAGTCCTGCTGATCCCTCCTATGTACCAGCAATAATCTCCAGCGATGGAACATATTTGTTACATTCGTACCATTGATCACCTCTAGCACTGCATTTTCAGAAATAAGATCACCGCCCTGTCTTTGCACGCTTCATCCCCGTGGAATTGAAGGGGGACACACTGGGACTAAGATGGGAGCTTGGGCTTTCCTCCCTTAGAGTGCCATTAAGTATAGCCAATTCTCTTAGCTGTTGTTTCTTGTAGTAGTCCATGGACTCATCCTGATGAGGACAGCGGTCAAGGAAACATGTAATGCCAGGTTAGAAGCAAAACAAATATTCAAAGCCAGTAGGAACAGACAAGAAGTAAAATAACAGACCACTGGTTTCAGAAGATCCTCCAATATGGCCACTGCTTGGTTTAGTCGGGCATCAACGATATCTGCTGGGAACTCAGCTTCCACAAGAACATGCAATGGATCATTTAAGTGCTCATAGCCAGGCTTGTCTCTGAGTTTGTCTTCCTATTTTAGAAAAAAAAGGTTTTTATTTTTTAGAACCTCTCCGTTATAATTTTATGGTAAGGTTTAAAAATATTGCTAAACATAACAATAATGCTCACATAAAATGATTTATAGTCGTAACCACAATAACTACTTTTATACAAACAAACAACTGCCCCATACCAAACTATTTCTGATTCAAATTATTATTTTGGTAAGAGATCTAAGCACAGGGCTGATCAGACACAAAAGTAACACCGGACAAACTGAAATCAGGATAAAATTCAGTTAGGAGGCTTCATCACTGTAAATATGAATTGATTTCTGTGATGATCGCAACTAAACAGAGCATTACAAAGATGTCCTAGGAATATCAATATGTTGAAACTTTCAAATTAACAATTTAAAACGATAGTGCCATTATGGCGAGTATCCACTATACAGTGTATAACACAAGAATATACATGGAATGTACCTAATAAACAAAACATTATACCACTAGTGCATAAAACTCAGGAATCATAATAGAAATATGCTAGAAGGTTTGGATCTTCCACTCTGCTTCCTGGCTAATGTACTGCAAAGTTCAAAATTATACATCTTGACCAATCATGGATTGCAGCGTACGACACTTCAATAGCAAAAACAGTGGAGATCGAAACTTTATACACCAAATTAACATCAAATAGTGTCTATTATCTGTTTAACAGTTTTTCTGTTGTTTTACTTGAAAACATAATTGATTCTCTACTGTAAATACAATTCAATCAAAACCATCCTTAGTTTATTAGTAATGGAATACAGGCAATTTAGATTACCATTTACAAGTCAGATTCTGGTGGGCATATTTAAGAGCAAATGTTAAGTACTATGGCGAAATACAAGTGCTCCTAAAAGGTTCCAAGCCTTTCAATAAGTATAGGCAACTACAACATGGCAGTTCTAATCTGTGTTTATTTACCTTAACAGAGTCTTTCACTGAACCCCGTCCACGAATATAAACTCTACATTGGGTTGTAGCTTCAACTCTTTTCAAGGAGTTCCCTCGTGGCCCCAACAAACGACCAACAAAGTTGTACTAATAATAGCAAGATATTATGAATAACTTGGATTTGTGGTAGCACATAATAATGGAAGATATGAAGGTTCCAAATAGCTAAAAGTAAGTTGCACATACGTTGGGATACTTGTCAACAGGAACATCCATCCTAACAACCTTTTTCACAGTAGGGCTCCCAACAGCTTCAGGAGTCCCATTCCAGTTCGTGGATGGCGATTGGAGTACACCATGATACTGAGAAAAAATGGCACTTCAATTTAAGCATGTAAAATGAGGCAGTTCAGGCATGTAAAATGAATAGGCAAAACAAGTATGAATTCGGACAACCTCTGTTTGCATTCCTGACCAACCGTCTAGATCCATTGGTTGACCATTCATTGGGTGACCAGCTAGTCTTAATGGGCTTGGGCTGCCATAATTGATTCTCTCAGGTTCAACAAAATTTGGGTTAGGTGTCAAAGAAGATGCTCGCAAAATTTCTGCATTGATGAAAACAAACCGTTAACCGTTTTTTTAGATTAAAGAATCAAAGAGTTCCGGCCTCCAAAATAATAGAAGTTGGGATGAAAACAAACCGTTAATCGATATGGGGTGGAATTAAATATATCTTATCTGAAACACTACCATATAATGGAAGATGCTAGTAATATCTATTTCAAAATCAGAGAGAAAGGGAGACCATCCAGGGAAGATTTTCAGACATGTCTAAAGCAGGAACTGAAACTACTGCAAGAAGCTAGAATACAGAAATCACCACACTCAGCAGTCAACAGTATAATGGCTTACATAATAAAGATTCTAAAGTAACAACGGTCCGTTTCACAAAATAGGTAACGATTGAAGTGGTCTAACTAAACTATATGATTGATGAAGAATTTTATAATTATCAATTTCTTTTGTATAAGCTCCTGTAATTTAAAACGCTGGTGAAATATTCATAAATTTACATAAATGGTATCCATTAGGGATTTGCAATTAATTTACGGTTGGCTAAAAACCATAATGTGAAAGGACAAGTAAATGTTGTACATCCTTGGTGTGAATTAAATCAGTAACAAAGTTAGCAGAAACGAGTCCACAACACGAACTAACGAACGATGGACAGGATTGTACAAGAAGATTAGAGGATTATGTCGACAGCAAGGATAGCTAAAAAATAGCAACTGGCTAAATCATGCTCTTATAGCAACTTGTATGCAAAACTATTAAGAAGTGCATCTAAGAGTAACAATAGCACATACACAGAAACCAAAAGGCAAAGAACGCCAACCTTGGTTCAGAAGTCTGTTACAAAAAGGAAGAACTTGCATGAATGGGGCTAATTTCTGCCTCTCGGCAAGTAATTCAGCAAGATATCTGCCAAAGTTCCAAGCAAAACAATTTCATTAGCCCGATCAATCTTGTAGCTATGATTGTACTAAAATAACAACGATGATCACCCCATGCATTTAAAATAGAAAAGTCAGAAAACAGGAGTGCCGAATGATCAGTACAACAAACCGCAGAACAGTATGAATTATCGATCGAGCTTAAAAAAACACTCTAAGAATGAGCTGGATGTCTTTCGTCGCCCAATGGAAGACACAATGCCGATTTATTCCTACAAGCCGTCTAACAACCAGCAACACATGCACAAAATCCGTCATTAACACGCGACCCCAAAAATCTTCGACTTGGCAGATAACTATGGCAGTAGGACAGCATTGATCGACGCCGAAATCACACCAAGGCGGTCGTGATCAAGCTCGCGCATATCTCGCACAGCAGTAACAGAAACTCGCATTTGAATGGTTTAGCAAAAGGGATCGGCGAGAACACGAAAACCAAAACCTGGCAGAGATGTCAAATGGGATGCAAAAAACCAAGAACAGGAGGCACTGCACATACCTCTCCCTGTCCGAGGAAGAATACCTCATGGAATTGTGGTGATGAGGGGAGGAATGGACACCGGATGTTGAGTACTGGAAGAAAGGGGGCGGTGGGATCCTCTCATCCATGTCCCCCAACAACAAGGACACCAAGAATTCAAAAGAAAACTGCAAGATTGAATCTTCAGGCCGAACTAGGGGCCAAGATTGAACTGAACACAGGGTGCCAAGAGCCGCCCAAAAAAGAATCAAGAAACCAAGAAGAGGATACAGCTTGTAGCTATCAGAGCAAATGAATGGGGGTGGATGTCTGCGGCCTCCTATACGGAATCCAAGGAAATCTAAAAGGACAGAAAGGTGCCAATAACCAAGGAGCAAGTATAGGGATGGATGGGATTATATATGTGTGTGCATAAATAAAAAAAGAAGAAAAGGGAAGGTAATTGCTGGGTTTTTTTTGTCAATCAATGATCAGAGGCGGAGAACCCAGGCTGTTCAGGGGTTGGCAGAGCAGAGCTCCGCTGTGGCCGCCGCCTGCTGTTGTTCTTGCTCCTTCGCTCTTCCTGCTTTGCAGTAGAAGCAACAGCAGGAAGAGAGGGGATGGGGTGGGTGGGAGGAAGCGAGACAGTCAGAACTGCACGGGAAGAGAGGGAGGCAGCAGGAGACAAACCCAGGAGAGGCGACAGCCAGCCTTGGATGCCCTCTCGCTCGCTGACGTGTGAATGTATCCCACCGGTTGGTCCAGCTCAGATGATGATGACCCTTTTTTACAAGTACCATCCAGCTCACACGATTGAGCTCCGCCTCCGCCTGCTTCTAGAGATCGTTACTCCTATTTTTTTCACCTTTTAGTTTTTTTTTATTATAATTTTCTAAGATCATCACTGCTTTTTCGCCTTTATCGGTTTTTTTATTATAATCTCCTTATTTTGATAAATTTGCAAAGGAAAAATAGCTGTAGTTGTGAACTTATCAACAACTAATTAACTGACACAAAAGTGCCTGGAGATAGGAAAAACTCCATATTCAAAGCTCCTGTGCCCGTGCATAAAAAGGCTACAGCGTATTTTACCTTATTGTATCAAGAAACGCATTGCATTTCATTAGTTGTTATAAGGTTAAGAAAAACTGGCGTAATCACACATGTTCTATAGTATTGAACTATCGATAGCTAGTTTCAAGGTCCTCGCAAAAAAAAAAAAAAAAAAAGCTAGTTTCAAGGAACGATGTTTTTTAATATTATTTCATCAATGTTATGTTCATGAGTGCAGAACTGTACTCTTTTTTTTTTGTGCCTGCTCCTCTTTTTTCTTACTGGCTACTTGGAAATTCCGTAAACATTTATATGCCACAAGTTGTCTCAATGATGTGTGGGTCCAAACTACATTATCAGTGGCACATAATCGGAATGGAATGAAGAATTCCCCTTTCAAAGAACTCCACCTTTTGGTGACTATAGTTCTAGAAATAAAAATGCAGACTTTTTCTTGTTGGAAAGAAGCATATAAAACCACACTCTCACTTAAATACTCAATACATTTCAACTAAAAACACAAGTTTTTTTTTTCTGAAAATGTTGCCTCTAAGATTATGGTGGTGCCATAAGTGTGCTTATGTAAATTTAGGCTAGGAGGACTTCTGCTCTTAAAATGGCTATTGTTTCTAAGAAATCTTATGCCCTATAATATGATGAAGCAATTTTTCTCTCTTCCTAAAATGAACTGAAAGTTGGCAAATAGAACAAATGGCTTTAATGGATTGGTTCTTCCATGCACCGCAGAAGCCAGCAGAGCTAGAAAAAACCCTCCCAAAATGCCTTGTCGTGAAAGAGAAACAATGGTTTATTGTCCTCTTTTCACAACTAGTTAATGAGATAAAATGAGCCCAGAAGTCATAGAACTATGGGTTCGCTGTGATCAACTCAAAACAACTATATCACCACAACTCTAGAACAATGACAATCTAATAGCAGCTGTAGTGTGTGTGAAAATTAAACCATCACCATCAACATGAACCATTACACTAGAGAATCTTGACAGAGCCCAAATCGACTTTCGACTTCTCAAGTACTTATGAGTGAAATTGAGATAGTGATTCTGGATAGTGATGTAGAATTTACATTTTATATAGAAAAATGTTAGGTGTTTGAATCCTAGATGATTTTCTTTAAATAGTGATAATCTTCAAATAGTAGGGTTTTTGGTATATAGTTGAATTCTATAATCTCATTTTAGAATCCAAATGTTTGTTTTTTACTCTCATTTTTCTCGTTCTCAATTTTTCTTAGGAGATCCAAACAAGGTTGAAAGGACATTCTTTTTTTAGGAAAAAAAACATGATCATGAATGGGGTTTTAAAAACTCTAAAGAAGACTTTAGTAATATGATAGTTTTCAAATCACAAGGGTTGGTTCACCCAAACACATCATAACTTTTCAAACCAACATATTTTGCTAAATAGCTGATCATATAAATAGGATAAAATGAACTTAAGCAAAAGGATAAAATCATAAACAACATCTCTTATTGCTTCTCCATCCATTTTTTGCTAAATGTACACAGCAATGATGTCCTGTGTACTGTGCATGGTTCAGATGGTGGCGTACCTCGAATCGAATTTCTAACTAGATCACGGCAAACCTCTCACTTTCATATATGTTTACTTCAAAAAGAAATGCACGTACAGAACATTGACATATGTGAACCACCTCATTAGTGTACTGTGGAAGATATTTCCTCCATCCCAAATTATAAGTCATTGTAAGAATATTGGAAAGTCAAATCATCTCAAGTTTGACCAAATTTATATAATAAGATAATAATATTTATTATACCAAATAAGTATCTTTATGTTCTTTATTAATTATATTTTTATAATATATCTATTTAATGTCATAAATTTTTGTGATTCTTTTTATAATTTTGGTTAAACTTGAGATGTTTTGACTTTCTAAAATTCTTAGAATGATTTATAATTTGGGACGACGGGAGTAGTTCAATGGGGAACTAACAGCTCAGCCTTCACATCTAAATATTCTCAAAATTATTAATGTGGTTGCCATTGATTTCGATAGGATGATGATTGATGTACACAGAAAGGGACGTTTCATTACGGCAGCAGATCGTATATACAGTATATCCTCTTTATTTCTCTAATAAAAATGAAGAAAAATAAATGGAGAGCGTATGAACTTGTGATTTAAGTACGGCGATTGATGCCCACGTTGCGGGAGAAGAATCAAATGCCGTGTGCATCTGTGGACCAGTTGGTCGGACAAAATTTTAAAACATCATGCGGCTCTAGTGCTGACCACTTATACTGACTTATCTATTGTATTGGCCAGTTGGTCCTTGGACAAATAATTTAGTTAAAATTAATCATCATACGGCTCTATATGTATATTTGACCACTTATACTGACTTATCTATTGGCTCTCTTGAACTTTAAAATTGAATTCATTCTAATAATTATAATTTATTTTATAAATTAAAATTTGAGATATGCTTATTTGTGAGCTTAGAAAAATTATAGAATATTAAATTTTAAACAAAATAGCCTAATCTAATAAGCAGACTTCATTTCCTATAAAATAAAGGGATCTAAACGGTCCCTTAAGGCTTTCTGTACTGGAACCTATTCAACATTTTGAAATTTATTTGCTATTAGAAAAAACAAAGAAGACACATTTGATGACCATTTTATTGTCGATCATGCACACAATAATACCTCTGCTGAAATCAATTTCGAGGTATTTTGTGATGGTAGCATGCAAAAAAAAAAGGTGGGGATAATTTACATCAATCAAATCAGCTTGTAATTTCAATAGGTCATCTTTTAATCAACTTCATCATTATGCAACCTGCAGTGAGGACCCCATCCTGCTGAACGCTTTCACGGTCGGTCGAGAATGTGCCAAGGAAGTTGCGGCATCTGGCATATGCTTACAGATAGACACAATTTTCCAGATGTGTACACGTCAGCACGGTCCACCTGGATCATGCCGGCTCTTGAGTCTTCACAGGTGGGCCCGCCGACCAACACGTCACGCTCGAAGACCCACCACCCACCTGCCCGTTCGAACCGAGCGCGAAACGTGCACGGACAACAGGGTGCACCTACGACCGCCGTACTACGTGCGAGCGGCCACGGCCCGGCACGCGCCAGAGTTTCGACAGGCCGCCGCCCATCCTGGCCATGCACCATTAGACGCGACGACTATAGATGGTCACCGATGACCATTCGCTTTTTGTATTTTTTATTTACATTTTCAATTAAATTAATTTATTTATTTGCAAAAGTTGGAGATTTCGCTAAGTGAATGGTTGAATTTCGTTTCCTAGACAGTGCACATAAAAGAATAAAAACTTTTTATATGAGCTCAAAAGATATATAGCTCGACGAATCTATAACTTTGGAATTTATAACTTTTCACTTTAAAAACTATCTTGGTACCGAAATAATTGATACGATGTTCGGATCTACAAATATAGATATGAATCTTATATCGATTATTTCAACACTAATAGGGCTTCAAATGAAAAGAGTTGTAGATCTCGTAAAAACTATGATTTTTATTTAAATTTTATTTTTATATGTGGGGATATAAAAAGGTAATAATTATTTTAGAGATATTGCTATGTATAGAACTGAATAAAGAGTTCCCGATGTATCCAATTGTCGTGTATCGTTATTAGGGATACCCAAAGCAAGGAGGTTAGCGTCCACGCTGACTCCCCCGGATGGCTCGAGACGTATTAAAAGGTCTCGAGCGACCCTAAGGCCGCGGACTCTGTCTCGTCCAAGGTCGCGGGTTCCGTCTTGCCCGACCCCTCGGGTGCGGGCTCCATCTCGCTCGACCCCGAGGACGCGGGCTCCGTCTCGCCCGACCCCAAGGCTACGGGCTTCGACTCGCCCGACCTCTTGGGTTCGTGCTCCGTCTCGTCCGACCCCAAGGACGCGGGTTCCGTCTTGTCCGATGGGGACCCATACCGCCGCTAACCACTCCAGGTCCAAGCGTATGAGCCTGGGTCAAAACTCTGACACTAGGAAAGAGGCTGGCACGCCTCGATGTAACCCGTGGCCATAACGGGCCATACCTGGCGATTCACATCAAGAACAGTGTCGAGCGT